ACAGCTCTCCATTTATAATCTGAGGCCACCCATATATGCCCTGGAGTTCTCCACCTGTAACCAGGGCCCCCTGCTATGACCTGGGGCTTCAATCTATAACCAGGTGTTCGCCACTTGTACCTTGGCTCCCCCAGCTATTACCTGGTGCCCTTACTTATAACCTGGGGTCTCCACCTCAATCCTGGGGCCCCTCACTTTTAACATGAGCCCATAACCTTGGGTCTCCCAGTATAACCTGGGGCCCCCATCTATAACCTGAAACCTCCCACCTGTAACCTCGGGCTCCGTACCTATAATCTGGGACTCCTATCTATAACCTGGGACCCCTTGCTATAACCTGGGCCCCCCACCTGTAACCTAGAGCCTCCACATGTAACCTGAGGACCCCACCTAGAAACTGGGGCCTCTCAGTGATAATCTGAAACCCAACCCTGGGTTCCAACCTATAACCCAGCGTCTTTAGTAGAACCTGAAGAATGGTGAGGGTGAGAACTTTTCGTCAAAGCTGTTTTTCCCCAGGGTTACCATAAATATTCATACTTATTGCCTGTGTCTATTAATAATCCCATTTGTCACAGTTCACTGTCCCAGAGGTCAGGCTGCCCCTCTGGATCCAGAGTGTCATCTCTGACTGTTAAGTCTTTCCTTTTCATGGTGATTCATAAAGTAATAGCACACCTCACTTCCAATGGCCTCTTGTATTTCATGACATACGGTACTCTAACTCCCCACTCAGAGCAACAGGAAGCCCCGCCCATGTCAGCAGCCACCCCCTCCACCCCACTCCCATCCCCACCCCAGACACTGACAACCAGGAATTCACTCTCCTGTCTCTGGGGACTTGCCTGTTCTGGACGTTTTCCATCAATGGAATCACACACTGTGTGATTCCTTCTGTGTCTGGCTTCTCTCACTGAGCATCGAGTTCTCAAGTTCATCCATGTATGTCAATGCCTCTGTCCTTTTCATGCTGAACAATATTCCAATATGTGGACATGCCATGATCAGTTTGTCCATCATCTGTTGCTGGATATGTGGGTTGTTTCCACTTTTTGACTATTGTGAATTGTGCTGCTGTAAACATCCGTGTACAAGTTCTTATGTGGATGTATGTTTCTTTCTCTTGAGCAGAAATCTCAGATTGGAATTACAGGGCCATATGGTGACTTAATGTTAACCTTTCAACTGGTTTTCCAACCTGGCTATACCATCTATAAGAAAGTTCCAGTTTCTTCACATCCTTGCTGATACTCCATTTTTAACAAATTATAACCATCATAGTGGGTATGAAGCGGTTTTGTTGTTGTTTAGTCACTCAGTTGTATCAGACTCTTGCAACCCCATGAACTATAGCCACGAGGCTCCTCTGTCCATGGGATTTTCCAGGCAAGCATACTGGAATGGGTTGTCATTTCCTTCTCCAATGAAGTGTTACTTTTATGTTATTTAATTTATTGTTTTGTTTGCACCCTGTGGCTTGCAGAATGTTAGTTCCCCAAACAGGGACTGAACCTGGGCCCAGGCAGTGAAAGCACCCAGTCCTAACCACTGGGACACTGGGGAATTCCCTGAAGTGGTTAATTTTAATAATATATTTCTTTTAACCTAATATATCCAAAATTTATCACTTCAATATGCGATCAATATGTTATTGTTTTCATATTACAGTTATTAATAAGATATACACATATATTGTTGTTCTTTAGTCACTAAGTTGTGTCCGACTCTTTTGCGACCCCATGGACTATAGCCTGCCAGGCTCATCTGTCCATGGGATTTCCCAGGCAAGAATACTGGAGCGGGTTGCCATTTAATCCTCCAGGGGATCTTCCTGACCCAGGGATTGAACCTGCATCTCCTGCATTGGCAGGTAGATTCTTTACCGCTGAACCACCAGGAAGCCCCGTACGTAAACATCATACATACTTTTTTCCCCTTCACATTAGGCCTTCAAAATCCAGTGTGTAGTGCGTCCCTGGTAGTCCAGTGGTTAAGAGTCTGCCTTGCAATGCAAGGACACCAGTTCAGTCTCTGGTCCGGGAAGATCCCACATGCCGAGGAGCAGCTAAACCCATGCACCACAACTACCGAACCTATACTCTAGAGGCCGTGCTCTGCAGTAAGAGAAGCCACTGCAGTGATAAGTGCCTGCATCACAATGAAGAGTAGCCTACACTCACAACTAGAGAAAGCCCGAGCATAGCAACAAAGATCCAGTGCAATCAAAAAGAAATACATTATATATATATGTATATATAAATCCAGTGTGTATTACACTCACAGCGCATCTCAATTCCAGCAGCCACATTATAGGAGCTTAACAGACACATGTGGCCAGTGGCTATTGTACTGAATGACAGCTCAAGTTGCTGAGGATACAGCAGTGGCCAAGACATATCTAGCCTCAGCCCCAGAGAGCTTCCAGTGCAGTTCCAGAGACTAAAGAAATATGGGGAAAATATATATATAAATAAGATAATTTTTGCTGGTGACAAGTGTTAAGAAGAAAACTAAACATGAAAGGGGCTACATTGGAGGGAATGACCAGGAGGACTTCTTGGAGGAGATCACATTTGAGCCAAGAGTTCACCTTCACATACTCTTTCTGCAATGATCACCAAACATTCCTATGTCCTTCCATGTGTCCTGCACATCAGGAGAGGGGTGGAGTGAAGGAGAGTGGGATGTCAAAATTATCAAATACCCCCAGACTCTAAGAAAGTTGGGCATAAGTCAGCAGTTAAAAACATAGAAAATACCAAAAGGAATTTGAGTTGGGCAGTGTTGCCTCTTTGTTTTCTGCAAGATTGTTTAGAACTAATGTTATTTCTTCTTAAAATTTTTTATTATTAAAAATTTTGGGGGGTGCCTTGGGTCTTCATTGTTGTTCATGGGCTTTTTCTAGTTGCCTCAGAGTGGGAGCTACTCATTGCTGGGGCTTCCCATATTGCAGAGCACAGGCTTTAAAGTGCTGGCTCAGTTCTTATGGCACAGGGGGTAAGCTGCCCTGATGCATGTGGAATCTTCCTGGACCAGGGATTGAACTGGTGTGTCCTGCATTGGCAGGCAGATTCTTAATTAACCACTGGACCAGCAGAGAAGTCCTTCCCAAAATGTTTGATGGAAATTCATGAATGAAAACATCTGGGCCTTAATTGTCTTTGTTGAAAGGTTTTCCCCTACAGATTTAATTTCTCTAATAAATCTAAGACTATGCAGATTATCTATTTTTTCTTCATAGAGTTTTCATTTTAGTGTCTTTTCAGGTGTTGGTCAATTTCCTATTGAATTTTGGACATAGAGTTGTTCCTATATCTAATCATTTTAGGTCAACTAGTTTTCTTGCTTAGTCTGGCCAGAGTTTTAATCAGTTGTTTTAATTCTTTCAATGAATAGTCTTTTGGCTTCATCAGTTTTCCCTGTGTTTGTTTGTTTTTTCTATTCTGCTTCATTGGTTTCTGCTCTGCTCTTTATGATTAAGGAAAAGGAATTTGGGGCTAATCTACACGTTCTGATTAGGGCTTGCTGGTATGTTGGTGTGACTTGTGGTCCCCCCACCCCCAAAGCCACAGCAATCCGCCTTCTGTAGGTCATTTGAGAATCTGATGAAAGTCCTAGATGTCCCTAAGAACACACACAAGGACACACTCAATTTCACACATAGATTTAGGCAGTCCACAGGTGTCAGGCTCAGAACTCGCAGCCTGGAGCCCAAATCTGACGGTGTCAGCTCCCACCGTTCCCACTAAAGACAAGCAGTTTGTTCTGGCAAAATAATCAAGTGATAAAAAACAGAAAGATAGAAAAACCCCAGAGGCCTGGAGGAATTTTCAGTTTCATCAAGCCCTAGTATTTTGCCATCTCAGTATTTTTCATCCAAAGCACTTTGCTGGCACCATGTCAGCTGAGTACTGCGTTTTACCCCGTGAGATTCTTTAGGGTAGAGATGGTCCAGCGCACTTTTAGCCCCGTCTGGTCTGAGAGATGCTTAATAAAAGGTTTTTTGCCTTCAGTTGGCCACTTTCGGCTACTTTTTGACCCTTGACCTCGCTTCAAAAGGGATTTCGGGGGACAGACCCTATCAGGCGCCCACCAGCATCTGTGAGCTGCAACCGACCAGCCAGGGCTACGCCCAGACACCCTCCCCCGACTCCCGGTCCAAGGCGCCCCTTGGCCTTTGTGAACTCCGATCTTAGCTAGGTCAACGCCACTCTCACCTCCCCGAGCCTGCTTCCCGCCCCCTCCACTTGACGGGCGTGCCCGCGGACCAATGAGAGTGCAGTAACCACCCCCTGGGCGGGGCCAAACGAGAACCAATCCCCGCCGCAGGGCCCGCCCGGGTCCAAATGGCCCAATGGGCGCTGGCGGCAGGGTTCGCTGCGGGGGCGGGGCTGGTCGGCTAGGCCAACGGGCGTGCACGTCGGCGTCGCGAGGGGCGGGCCCGCGGCGGGCGTGCGACGGAGAGGCGGTGCAGGGCGGGGGAGGAGGTAAACAAGATGGCGGCGGCGTGTCGGGCGCGGAAGGGGGAGGAGGCCCGGAGGTGCCCCGCGCGCCCCTGATACGCACCTGCCGGGGTGTGCGGGCGCCCGGGCGGCGGCTGGCTCGGACGAGGCTTGCTCCTTGCAGCCGGCGGGCCCCGGGCAGCCCCGGCGCTGGCGGGAGCCGGCCGAGCTGGACGAAGGTGCCCCGCGCGCCCCTGATACGCACCTGCCGGCGTCTCGGGCGCCCCGGACGGCGGGAGACGCCCCCGAGCTGCGCGCCCTGCCCCCGGCAAAGCTCACCTGCCCAGCTCTGGGAGCCCCAGAGCTGGCCTGCGCGGGTTCCCGGGCGCGCGCCATGGCCCGCTGGTAATGGACGGCGCGGAGAAGACTCGGCCCGGCCGCGTCCGTGTTCGTTCGAGGGTCTAAAGTCCCTGGAGGATGACCTAGCACTTCGCGGCCCCACCGGCCTCCGGAGGGCCCCCGTGGACGCGCCTGCCCGCCCCGAAGCTCCGAGGTCGGGCGGCCCTCAAACTTGGGACGCTGCGCACGCCCGGGTGCCCGGGCTCTGGACCAGCCGCGCCTTTTGAACTTACGTTCAGTACAATCGTTTCTTTTCCAAGAGGGTTTTCCTTTATTTTTTTTTTCCTCTTTCTCTTATTTTTTCGATTTTGTTGACTTTTAATTTTGGAGAAGGGAATTTTGAGGCGGGGTGGGGGGGAAACAAAAGGAAGAACCGCTCCCCGCGAAGTTCACAAAGGGGATAAGGGACCGCCGGCCGGAGACGTAGGCCTGGAGTTCAGGATGGAGGTGGCGGACCCGCAGCAGCTGGGCATGTTTACAGAGGGCGAGCTGATGTCGGTGGGGATGGACACATTCATCCACCGGATCGACTCCACCGAGGTCATCTACCAGCCCCGCCGCAAGCGGGCCAAACTCATCGGAAAGTACCTGATGGGGGACCTGCTGGGGGAGGGGTCGTACGGCAAGGTGAAGGAGGTGCTGGACTCGGAGACACTGTGCAGAAGAGCCGTCAAAATCCTCAAGAAGAAGAAGTTGCGAAGGATCCCCAACGGGGAGGCCAACGTGAAGAAGTAAGTGCGGGCTTCCTGGGTGGGGACGCGCGCCGCTGGGCGGCCCCCTCCTTTCCCCTTCCCTCCCTTCCTCTTCCCTTCTCCTCTCGGTTACTTTCTTTCGTTCTCCGTTTCCTTAAGCACCCCGAGTCGATCTGCCAGGGAGAGTCGTGGGCAACACTTTGGGGGACTTTGGTGAAGTCAGGATCGCTCGTTGCGGCTGGGCGTCCTGGGCTCTCAGCCGCTGCGGGGCGCTCCTCGGAAGGGGGAGTCCCTCTCCCCCTGTGCCCTTTTAGCTGTCCGGAGGGCTCAGGTACCCGGTGGAGGCGGCCAGTGTTGGTTTGGCTTCGGAAAACCAAAAGCAGTTGGGTTCGGAAGGGCTGTGCCTGCCGCCAGCAGGTTTCCTCCCAGCGTGAGGCTGTTACTAGGGCTGGGACACGCCATTTGTTTACCCTGTTGGAGGGGGACGCTGCGGTTGCCAAAAATAATTGTTTGCACTGGTTTATCAGCCTGCAGGGGGGAACTTGGCCTTTTCTCACTCGCCTGGGATGTGCCACAGGACACATCCACGACTTGCAGGCTCGGTGGCTCCTGAGAAGTGGGGGTCGGCTTGTGTCCCCGCAAACTTTTTACACAGAATTTTTTCAGGTGCCTGTCTGGCCATAGGCATCCCTGAGGTGGTGGGAGCCCTGCCTCCGTCCTTTTTGCTGGCTCTGGGAGGGGACACCCCCTCCTTATCTCTGCTGCCTGGGGATCCCACCCTACCCCAGCCCAGGGCTTTATCTAACGGGCCAGGCGGCAGTTCTGGCTGGTGACCTTGGCCAGTCCTGGGAGTGCTGTTCCCTGATCACTCTCACCCCTCCCCCCGGTCCCCCTGCTCTCCGGGCAGTTTGACAGTGAGCACCCAGCTGCTTCTGTCTTCTGTGGGACACCTGGAGAGCAGGGCAGTGGGGCCAGACCGGCTGCGGACCGTGCCCCAGCCATGGACCCTCAGCAAGGGCAGGATCAGCCCAGCCAGTTCTCTGTGCCCATCTGTCACCTGCATGTTGAGGGTTAGGCAGGAGCCACCAGTGTCCTGGACGAGACAGACCAGGGGACAGTGGGTGCCAGTGCCCTCCTGCAGGCTGAGTTAGGTCACACTTCTGATCCAATCCCCACTCCCTGTTTCTCTGAGTCACCTTTTCTCCTTAATCCAGAAGTGTGTGGGGGAGAGGTGACCCTCGGGCTGCCAGTTGGCCACCACTGCAGGTTGAGGGGCAGTGGGCTTCTGGATGCTCCTGGCAGAAAGGGAACCCCCCCCACACACACACACATACTCTCCAGGGCTGGTCCTTGTCCTCCTGGCTCCTCTTAGGCCTCATCCCTGAGTCTGTCCCAGGAGTGGGATGCTGGACTCTTCCAGTCTGGACAAGCCCTCCTGGATGGAGTTGGCGCAGATTGCCCTAGTGTCTGGTGCCTTACGCTCTGCTGCATCCCAAGCTGGGAGGGGCCAGGCTCATTTCCAGCACCAATTGATGTTTGGTTAGGGCTGCCCCAGCCACTGCTGGCCATCCCGGGGGCTTCAGAGAAAGTGGGGGACCAGGGGCGTGCACCTGGAACATCTGCAGATGCCCCAGCCTGAGATGAGGGAGAGGTGTCAGGTGGGTGAGTGCCGAGTTCTTCCAAGTTCTTCCAAAGGGTGATGCACACCTGAGGAAGCCCCTCCCCATCTGCAAATGTACGTGGCCAAGGTCAAGTTAGAGGGCGATCACCACCCAGAGATTCCCTCCTGCTTGGCCACCCGACAGAGGATCATGGCTCCCAGTTCTGGTTTCCTGAGCCATCAGCTGTGGTCTCAGGAGCTGTGGAAACAGTGTCTATCGAAGGAAGCCCTGGGGAGGCAGGGTTGTTGGCATCCACAGCGGCCTGGGGGTCACTGTGAGGTGCCACAGCTGCAGGGTCGGACCCTTTCGTCCTTCTCAGCCCCAGAGGCACAGGTCTTCCCCTCTCCGAACACAGCTCTGGCCACCTGCGGGCTGGTGCTGGGAGGGCCCACTGGGTGTGTGCCTTCAGGTTAGAACCCTCACGCCTCCTTCCTGAATGTCGTGAGGGCGAGCCCTGCTCTGAGCATCCTGTTCCCTTGTCCTGAATCCTGATGATACGTGCTGGACTGCTTTGTGTGGGTGCTCAACCAGGGCCCCAAGATCCAGGCTTCTGGGTCAGCCTTGCCGCCAAGGCAGCTACAGGGGGAAAAAAAGGCTCCTTTGTCTTGGAGAGACTTAATAAACTCAACTCCAGACTCTTCTCATGGAGTGAAGTGTCCGGAACTTTCCAGAAAAGCCTCAGGAGTCCCGCAGCTCCAGTTGGGATTGGACGCATTCCTTAAGAAATGCAGTGTGTGACAGAGGAAGTCTCCCCTCCTGTGGCTTCTCCCAGGAGGGCTGCTGTGGTCTGTGCCTAACCCTCTTTGTTCTTTTTTTAATGTGTGTAAGTCACTTAGTCGTGTCTGACTCTGCGACCTTATGGGCTATAGCCTGCCAGGCTCCTCTGTTTGTGAGTTTTCTACTGGAGGGTATTGCCATGCCCTTCTCTGGGGATCTTCCCAACCCAGAGATGGAACCCTTGGACCCCCTGCGTTGGGAGCTCGGAATCTTAGCCACTGGACTGCCAGGGAAGTCCTGCTAACTTGTTCTTGTTGTAAAATAGGAAGACTCAGAAAAGCATCAAGAAGTGAAAAAGAAAGCAGTCGTCGTTTTAACACTGACACCTTCGAACTTCTCTTTACCAATCTAAGAACTTTTTAATGAAAAGGGTCATTTTCCATGTAAGTTGTATCTGCTTGTTTTTCCAGTCAGCCACTGAGGCTACGCTGGTGTCTCCCTGGCCGGGGGCAGCCCTGGGGCTTCATGCCTGTACAGATAGTGAGTGTACACCCTTCTGCCCCGACCCCTGGGAGGCCAGGTGGGCCCAGCTCCCAGGATTCTCACCTGTCACAAGGTCTTGTTCTTTGTGGGCTTTTTTCCATTAGCTGTTGAGAAGCAGGGACAGTCTCCGTTCTCCCACCCCACATTCCCTCTTTGAGAGGGCAGCTCAGGGCCTGTGCCTGCTGTGTGCCAGATGCATGTGCTCGGTGAGCTGTGCAGAGCCGGGACTGGCAACTCGGGGCCCTGCTAGCTTCCCTCCTCATCAGCGTTCCTGGTGCTCCTGCCTTGCGTCCTGGCCCAAGTGCCCAATGCCAGTCTCCAGGCCAGCAGTGGTGACTGGTAGGCTCTTGGACCTGAGAGTGAGTGGTTGGGATTTTAGCAGAGCCTGGACTTTTCTGGCCCTTGTTTGCATCCCAAGTGGCCTCTGCCAGGTCCTGGCATCTGCTGGTACCCCCACTACCCAGGTATTGGTAAAGCTTCCTCCCTGAGGCCAGCTGGCATCACCAGGGCACGGCTGCTGCTTGAGGCACCCAGGCTGTCATTGCACGTCCTGGCTGAGGGGTGACTAGACACAGTGGAGCCCGGGGGCCGTAGGGACTCCCCAGGCTGGGACGTAGGGGACACTGTCCCTCACCCAGAAGCCTGTTGGAAGTCACGGCCCAGTCGCCCATTATCATGTGTCTACTACACAGCCGGAGGTGGCATGTTGTCTGAACAGCTTTAGTGAGACACGTTTTACATGATGTGAAACTCAGCTGTGAGCAGGTAACTCACGGTCAGGTACTTTCCTGGAGAGTGCGACCACAACCTATCTCTAGTTTTGGAACAGTCCATGTCCCAAAAGGAAGCCCCATCCCTGTCAGCAGTCACCCCTGCTCCCCCTCGCAGCCCCTGACAACCAGGAACCCACTCTCTGTGTTTGTGGATCGGCATGTTCTGGATGTTTCCCATCAGTGTAATCACACACTATGTGTTCTGTGTCTCTTCCTCTCATGTTCTCAGGTGCGTCCACATGGTAGCAACTGTCAGAGCTTCTGATGCTGCCCATGTGTGTGTAGGGGGACGTGTATCTGACCCCATCAGTGGATATGTGGGTCATCCCCTCCTGTGTGTGTGTGTGTGTGGACATGTGTGTATCCATCCCTATCAGTGGACGTGTGGGTCATCTACTCCTGATGCCCATGTGTGTGGACATGTGTATTCATCCCCGTCAGTGGACGTATGGGTCATCCCCTGCTGATGCCCATTAGGAATTGTGCTGCTCGGCAGTTGTGCGAGCACGTGTTTTGTGTTGAACTTCACTTTTCTTGAGTTTCTCCTCATTTTTGTCTCTTGCCCCTTGCCACATGATTGGAAGCATCAGCAGAAGGACCGAGTGGTGAGGGGGTCTTGCTCAGTGACCCTCGGCCAGAGCAGCCATCACCCCTTCCTTGCTCTCTGTGGACCCGTCAGCATCTAGAGGGAGTGAGGTGGCAGGTCCTTGCGCCCTGAGGTGGGTGGCCGTGGGGGCAGCTGCACCCCTCTGTGAACTCCAGTGCTTTAGGACCCGGCTGTTTCATTGCCTTCCGCTTGTGGGCGGTCAGCGAGCCCGCCCTGGGTCCACTCTGCTCCCAGCGCCACAGGCGGGTCTCTGTGATGCCCTCCCTGAGCAGCTGCGGCTGGACCGGAAGGCTTGCTTCCCCTCACTTCACTTCCTGCATCCTGGCTGAGCGCCTGGCTTTCCTCTTTCTTTAAATAATGTTTTTCTTTTTCTCTGGCCAATGGTGCTACTCCTAGGTGACGAGAACATCTCGGCCCCTGCAGTGCATGTTTCAGGGATCCTCCTGGACCCCCTCACCTACTCGGAGTGTGTCTTTGTGCTGTCTCTGGACCTTGGTCCTGGCCTTGTGGGCGTGCGGTTCCCTTCTCTTAGAATTTGACACAGTGGCCCCTTCCCTGGTGTTGTCACCCCTTCCTTGGTGTTGACAGCAGGCTCACTCACTTTCTTGGAAGGCTGTGATCATGTTGATTGAGGGCCCTTGCATAGGCCCTCCCTCCAGAGCTGACTTTACTGACGTGGGGTGGGGGGTAGTGCTGTCCACTGCTTGGGGGTCCCTCCTGCGTTAAACTTTTCCTGTAGAGGAGTCTTGCCCCAGTGGCAGTGGTCAGAGGGGGAGGCTCGGCTGGGAAGATGGTCCCGGGACGGGTACTCATGGCACAGAAGGCAGAGCCTGGGCTTATCCACGCCTGGGCAGGCCTGGGGCAAACACCACCGCGCGTGTGGTTGGCAGCCGCATCTGAGTTTGGAGGCTGCACATTAGGACTTGGGGCTGCTTCTTGAAGTCTGGCTGTGAGGCCTGCCTCCCCGAGGTGGCCACGTGTTGGCTCAGGTGTCAAGGGCTCCTTGTCTCCACAGGTGGGTTTATGTAGCGTCTCTTTGGATGGAGAGGGGACGGACGGTCACCTGGGCTGTCCTGTTGCCACAAGAGTCACGGTTTGGGTTGGGCCCTCCTTCGTGTCTCCCCTCCCGTGTCTAGCAGGGAGGCCGATGGGGATGGTCACTTGAGCTGTCCCCATGCCGCAGGAGTTTGGTCTGTACTGGGCCCTGTGTCCTATCCCCGCCCCAGCCTGTGGGCTCTCTACTGAGCTTGCTGCCACGTACCGCTTTCCCCTCTGGGCTGCAAATCCCATCCCCGCGGTGGGTGCCCTTGCTGGCCAGTTAGCCCAGCCGGCATCAAACACTGAGGGAGCTGCCCTGGGACCCCTCCCCAGGGCCTTCTCTCCTGGCACCTCTGAAAGGAGCTGCTCTGTACTCTGACCAGGCAGCATGCAGCAGAGACCCCAGAGGCCTGGTCACCACTGTCAGGATAAAGGCTTCCATTTGGACGGCCTGGGGTATCCACCTCTCTGTCAGATTGAGGGGGTGGAGAACTTATAGGCAGGGGAGGGGCCCTGAGTCACCACAGTTGAGCTCTGGCCCTGAGGAGCCGGCAGCAGGCTGGGAGTCAGAGCTATGAGGTGATGGGGGAAGGAAGCCTGGGAGCACAGGACCACTGCCGACGAGTGCTGGTGGGCCTGGCGCGTATGACGGGGCCCCCAGGACAGGGTGCCCACGGACCCAGTGCCTGGCCCACAGCAGCCTGGGAAGGCCCGTTGCAGGAGTGAGTGGGACCTATGGGTCCACAGTGGGCCCAAGCTGGGCGGGTTGAGGGAGGACCTGCCAGAGGCAGGGTTGGGGAGTCTGCCCCACCCACCAGGACTCACCACACTGCCTTGTCCCCGGGGACACCCAGAGACCCTGGGAGATGTCCCGGTTGTCGTGTCACGATGTGGGGGACTCCTCGCATCAGAGTCTGTTTCCCACGTACCCACAGAGCCCGCACAGCCAGGGTCAGGGCCCAGGTGGAGCTGCCATGTGTGTGGTCCCTGCTCACTGAGCTGGACAGGAGGCTAAATGCCCGGTGGTCAGATGGTATGAACCTGGGGCCCAGCCTCTGAGTCACTTCCCCCCGGTTCAGCTCAGGGGAGCATTTAGATGTGCAGCCTCTTGGCCTGGAGGGGACCCTGGGCAGGGACGGGGCAGCCAGTGGGCTTGCAAGAAGCCATTGTAAAGCTGTGTTTCCTTCTGCAAGTGGAGGGCCTCCTGTGCACTGGTTCTAGGGAGTGGGCGCTCTGAGTGCTGGGCCATGATCCACGTGGAAGGAGGACCTACACTATGAGGGCCCAGGATTGTGCACTGGTCTATGAGGGTGGGGTGGGTTTTCTGGAATAGGCAACCTTTTCATGAAATGTGGACAGTGGGAGGGGTGGAAGCTGAGTCTCAAGAGAATGGGCCCTCACCTGCCCCGATGTTCCTGTGTTTCACGCGTGGGCTTCCTGGTAAGGACTTTACAAAACCTTTATTGAGTCATCACTCACATAACCATGGCACTTGGTATCTTCTTAGTAATGGTCATCTTTGTGTAGGTCCAGGACATTCCATCACCCCAAAAAGAAGCCCTGTCTCCTCTGTCACCCCATCCCCTCCCCAGCCCCTGATAACCAGGAACCCACTCTCTTTATCTGTGGATCAGCCTGTTCTGGACATTTCCCATCAGTGGAATCACACCCTGCGTGTCCTTCTATGTCTGCTTCTCTCACTGAGCATCGTGTCCTTAGGGCCTGTCTACATGGTAGCAAGTATCAGGGCTTCTCTCCTTTTCAGGGCTGAGGGATGCTCCTGGGTGTGGAGGGACACTGGCATTGTGTCCACCCTTGGGCTCCCATGGATGGTGCTGCCGTGAGCACATGTGCATAGGTCGTGTTTTACTCAGTCCTCCCAGCCACATACCCTGAGTGGAGGTGCTGGGTCCGTTGGTGACTCTGTTTAGCGTTCTGTGAAGCCTCCTCACAGACCTCCAGCTTTTACCCCTTCACGCCCACCGGCTCCTGCAGAGAATCTTCAGGAGCTGCGCTGGCAGCAGGGGTGGGGGTGGAGTGGGCTGTCTCTGGAGTCCCAGCTCCCACACCCCTCGTGCTGCCCCGTGCACCCTTGCTGTGGTCTCCATGCACCTTCAGTCCAAGTGTTGGATGTCCCTGGTCTTGTTGCTGTGTTGAAGCCCTGCCAGGCTCTGGCAGACCCAGCACCCTCTGTGCGGTGCCCTCCACATGGTGGGTGCAGCTGGGCTGCCGGGACTTGACTGACCACCCATCCTCTTTTCAGGGAGATCCAGCTGTTGAGGAGGCTACGGCACAGGAACGTCATCCAGCTAGTGGATGTGCTGTACAACGAGGAGAAGCAGAAGATATATCCTACAGGGGGTGGGGAGGTGGGCATGTCCCCACGGTGGGTGGGCATATGGGCAGTCTCCTTGGCCTTCCCCTCTCCTTGGCTGCGACTCCCAGAGCCCAGGTCTAGGGGCCTAGGGTCCTGCTGAGGGGTCTATCCCTGACCTGCTGGATGCAGAATGACTGGGCTCTTCTCCACAAAGAGGTGTGGTTGGGGGACCTCAACCTGACCTTGGCTCCCACCCTTCCTCACTCCCTCCCCTTCCCCACCCCCAACTCCAGCCTTCTCTTTCCCAGGGCCCACATGGGCCTCTATCCCTCATTCCCCTTGGGGGGGGGGGGGGTGGGCAAGACTTAAGCTCCTCCTTGGGATGGAACAACCAGGGGCCTTCATGCTGGACTGTGCAGGCTAAGCCCAAAGGTGGCGTCCTGAGCTCCACAGGACGGCCCTGGAGGATCCATGGAGGGGTGGGGATCCACTGCAGTGCCCATGATCCCTCCCGGGTGCTCCCACTCACTGCACTGTTGCAGCCCCACCCCCAGCATTTGTCTGTGTCTGAGGGCCCATCCTGTCCAGAGCAGGGTGCCTGCTGCGTGTTTTCCTTAGCACGGCCCACGTACATGGTGATGGAGTACTGCGTGTGTGGCATGCAGGAGATGCTGGACAGCGTGCCCGAGAAGCGCTTCCCTGTGTGCCAGGCCCATGGGTGAGTGAGCTCGAGCCCTACCGCGGCCCCCACCCCTGTAGGTCACTCCGGGCCAGGGCCTTAAAGGACCTGGTCCTATGTTCAGAGAGCTTATTCTGAGCATGAGTGAGATGGAAGTTCAAGTGTGTTTTAAAACTCGGGGCTTTGGCGCACAATTTGCAACTGTGTAGCCTGGCTGCTGTGCACACCGTGCAGCAGCCCACCGGCTCCTCTCTGCACACGCACTGCCCCGCATGCCCATTGCCTGAGGCTGTGGGGCCTCCTGGTGCTGGGGGAGCCCCTGACCGGGCCTCACTGCCCCGAGGCCAAGTTCTCCTGGAGAGTCAGCTCCCAGTTGCTTGTAGGACCAGCTGGCCTGTGGTAGGAGGGGACAGGGGGCAGAGGCGGTGAGCAGCATGGCTCTTTCCAGGCCAGAGACTGGTGTGACAGCACAGCCCAGGTGGCTGGCCCTGGGTGGTGGTCACAGAGCTGTGCCTGCAGGTACTTCTGCCAGCTGGTGGACGGCCTGGAGTACCTGCACAGCCAGGGCATCGTGCACAAGGACATCAAGCCCGGCAACCTGCTGCTCACCACTGGTGGCACGCTCAAGATCTCTGACCTGGGTGTGGCTGAGGTGCGTGGGGGGGCCCAGGGTGGACTGGGCATGGGGTCCAGCCCTTGGAGCCACTTCCTAAGGACTACCTGGTGTTGCCACAGGCACTGCACCCGTTTGCTGAGGATGACACGTGCCGGACCAGCCAGGGCTCCCCAGCGTTCCAGCCACCTGAGATCGCCAATGGCCTGGACACCTTCTCTGGCTTCAAGGTGGACATCTGGTCAGCAGGAGTCACGCTGTAAGTGCCCTGGGCCTGGTCCCTTTACCCCAGGGTCCCTCTACCTCACCCACCCCAGCCCCAGGCACTCGGTTCAGACTCCAGGCCTTCATGACCTGCCCCTCCTGGCAGTCCCCTATGTCTGGGGAGGCCACGAGCCAGGGTCAGGAACTCCTGTGGGTGGGGGCACACACTGGGACCAGCTGTCCTTCGGCCCACCTCGCCTTGTGCTGGTGTCCCCTGCGCTGATCCCCCTGTGCTGTTGCCCCTGCGCGAGTCACCTATCACTGTTTGGGCAAGGCTTTCTGTCCTGACTCCTGGGGCTGAATTCTTAAAGATATCACGAGTCACCAGTGATGCTTGGCTCCCACCCAGACTGCCTTGCAGGCGTCTGTCCCTCCATAAGCCTGGCAGTAGCGAGGGGGCCTGTGTTCTTCCACCCAAGGCGAGTTGGCGCTGCAGCCCCGTGGACAGCTGATGGTCTGGACAAAGAGGCATCCATTTTATTCCACTGAGAGCTCAGTGACAGGTGTCCCCTGACCCAGCCTGTTAGAGTGCACAGTCCAGTGGCTTTTCGTGTCTTCACAGTGAGCCAACAGCACTGTGTGTTCCAGACCATCGTCCTCATGTCCGATCCCTGCAGGGGGTGGGGTGTGTATAGTGGGGGTGGGGGAGTGTGGCAGAGGCTCCAGGGCCACAGGGCAGGCTCTGACTGGTCTGTCCTTCCGGGCCACAGGTACAATATCACAACAGGCCTGTACCCGTTCGAGGGCGACAACATCTACAAGCTGTTTGAGAACATCGGAAAGGGGGACTATACCATCCCGGGGGACTGCGGGCCCCCGCTCTCAGACCTGCTCAGAGGTGAGGCCCTTGGAGTGGAGGCCAGGCTGCAGGTGTGGGGGCTCCCGAGGGTCTTCCCTAGACCACTGGCCTCTTGAGAGCTGAGCCATCTCTGTGCCGCAGCCACAGCCGCCTGCCCCACCCCCCCACATGGGAGGTGGGCACAGCCTAGCCAGGCTTGGAGAGCAGCCCGAGTGGAGTGTGCGAGGGGTCCCTGGCTCCTTTGGGCTCTGCCACCTGTCCTGGGTGTTGGTTCCACCCTGTCCTGATTACCCATCCCTACGGGAAGTAAGAGTGAGGGGGTCTCCTGCAGGACCTCTTTCTGCTGCAGTTCCCAGGCTGCTTAGCAGGTGGCACTGTCCCTGCACACAGGGGCCTGGCCCACCGTGGCCCCCATAAAGCCACACCAGGATCCTGGGGTTTGGCTGAAGTTAGTGTTTTATGTTTTTGCACACCCCACATGGCTTGTGGGATCCTACTCCCTGACCAGGGATTGAATCCAGGTCCACAGCAGTGAAAGCGCCGAGTCTTCACCCCTGCACTGGCAGGGAGCTCTCTGGTGAAGTTAGTTTTGATGATACAGCACATCCAGGGTATTGCCTGTGTGACTGGTACCGTCCTAGGTCCTCTACCCACAGTCCCCGGGCCTTGTGTAACTGACCTGACGCTCGGCTTGTGCCAGACACCTAATCCGTGCTTTAGCCTATATGTAGCCTACAGATGAACAAGCTGCTTCACAGTCCTGCGTGGCTCCGGAGCCTCCTGATGACCGAGTCACGCCAGTTCTCTGGTTGTTAGTGAAGGTGAAGTGAAGCTGAGCAGCTGCAGTTCAAGTGCTCTGCAGTGGTGCAACCCCGTCCTGCCCTCTGCATCAGGGCCACCCTGGCAGCCAGGCACTGGGCTCCCCCGCCCTCCCAGGGTCTTCTTGGAGTGTGGGAGGTGGCAGCCCCACCGACTCAGACCTGGCCCTCCCTGCCCAAGTGTTCCTTGAAGGCTCATGGCCCAACCCCCACCCCTGGCCTCCCCCAGCTCTAGCAAAGATTGATGTTTCAGACCCTCCTTCCTTCAACGGGGACTGATGAGTTGGAGTTCTCTGTTTAAAGCTTTCTTTGCTCCAGTGACACAGATGATGACCTGTTATTGCCTTCACTCCCATGAACACTTGAAACAGTCCCAAGTTAGGGGGACTTCCTTGCTGGTCCTGTGGTTACAACTGCAAATTCCCAATACAGGGGGCCCTGGCTCAATCTCTGGTCAGGGAACTAGATCTCATGCCGCACCTAAGACCCAGCGCAACCAAATAAATAAGAAGCAGCCCCAAGTCTGGCTGACGAGATGGCAGAGGGCATTGGTATCCCTGTCCCCCAGGTCCAGGCAGTGTCCTGTCCTCTCTGCCTGTGCCTGCCTAGAGGTCTTGCATAGCTGGGCGGCGAGCCTCCTGCCCACAGGTCTCTGGAACACCGCCCCAGCCCTGCCCTCGCTCTCCCACAACAGGGCTGTGACCATGACCTTTCCTCTTCTGCACCACTCATGCTCAGCTCTGAGGGCCAGCATCCCAAAGTTACACTTTCTGAGAACAAAGCCACCTGTGGGGGGTGGGGGTGGGGGTGCACGTAGACAGGGCTTGTGGGCTCTGCACCCCTGTAGCCCTGCCACCTCGGGGCAGCCCAGCGAGGCCTACAGGGCTGCCTTGCCTCTTCTGCATGTCCGGGTCTTGGGCAAACGCCTTCACACAGGTTCTAGGGTGTGTCCCTCTGGAGGCCCCTGGTTCTCCTGCTGCCGCCTTGGGGGTTTGGGGTTCCGGCAGGGATTGCCGGTCATCGGCTTTGCTGGCTAGAGCCGGGCGGGCACTGCAGGGTCGACCCCTGTGCTTTGTCTTCGTGGGACGTGTGGACAGGTTCAGGATCCCTGGGGTGGGCTCTTGTCCTGTGTTCCAGCCTGCTCCGGTCTCCTTCCTGATCTCGCTTTGCAGCGGGGGCGGGGCTCCGCTCACACGCGCCACGCCCCCCCACCCCTCCCAGGCAGGGGCGGGGCCTCTGCCCGCGCTAACCCCGCCCCCGGCTGGTCTCCTGGCAGGGATGCTGGAGTATGAGCCGGCCAAGCGGTTCTCCATACAGCAGATCCGGCAGCACAGGTGAGTCTCCTGCCCGGCTGGGTGCTGGAGGGGGAGGGCGTGGTGCAGGGGTCTTGCCGGCTCAGTCTCTCCTGTTGGCCCCACCCTTCTCCATCTCTGCACGCCACGTAGTTCTCTGTGGGAATTGAGGGTGGGCCCGTGTGGGGAGCCAGCCTGGACACCCTGATGACCCGCTCCCACAGTTGGTTCCGGAAGAAGCACCCGCCAGCCGAGCAGCCGGTGCCCATCCCGCCCAGCGCGGACTGCAAGGACCGGTGGCGGGGCATGACAGTGGTGCCCTACCTGGAGGACCTGCACGGCTGTGCCGATGACGTGGATGACGAGCTCTTCGACATTGAGGACGACGTCATCTACACTCAGGACTTCACAGTGCCCGGTGAGCCCCGGTCGGGAGGAGGGCCGGGGGCTCTGCCTGAGGGTCTGGTGGCCCTCTCGGCGCCGGTGCCCTGCTGATGCCTGGCCTTCTTCCCCAGGTGGCGAGGAGGCGTCTGAGGCAGGGCTTAGAGAGAGAGGCCCACGGGAGAGCCCGTGCTCAGAACTTTCTGGAGAGGAAGCTGAGGCCAGGGCCTTGGAGGAGCTCCAGGCAGAGCCCAGGCCCTAGTGTAGCACCACCCCGCCCGGCCCGCGCCCTGTGCACCGTGGGCTCTCGCTGACCCTGCCCAGGGTCTGAGGGAGGCCAGGCCACTGCCCCGCCACCGCATCTGCGGTTCTGTGCTGCCCCCGGGGCTGGTTCCACTGGCTCCGCATAAAGGTCTGCCTGCTTTGTGTGTGCGGTCCTGCTTGCCTCCTTCTGGCTCGTTGGCCAGGGCTCAGGTGTTTTCTGTAGAAAGAGCCTGTGTGCAGGGTGGCCTGCGGGCATGGGCCCGCCCTCCCAGCACATGTTAGGCCTCTGGTGCCCATGGTGGCTGGCTGTAGCTGTTTCCCACTGGGGTCCTGGGGTCAGGTCAGAGACCCTGCCCTGGGAACCTTGGCCACAGCCCAGTCCTAAGTAAGGCCTCCTGGACCTCTGTCCCTGGCGGGATAGGATCAAGGTGTTCTCCTTTGGGAGGCACTGGGGCTCTGGGACAGGTGTCTGGCTGGCTGAGTGTGGACCCTGCCGGATCCCCCAAGCCCCTCTGGGCACTGACCACACGCCGTCCCTTCAGGCCTATGCCAGAGGCCTGGTCTACTCTTCCTGGGTGCGGAATGCTTGTCCAAGAGCAGTTCTCTGGGCCCAAGCTAGACCCCTAGCCCAGAAATGTCCCTACTCCAGATGGGGGACAAGCCTGCAGTGAGATCAGGCAGCTGCCCCTTGCCGAACTCCCCTAGGCCAACGGCAGGCTGTGTTGGGGCTGCTTCTGCTCCAGTCCCGTCTCATGATCTGCTCACCAGGGTCTCCCTGGTCTGTCCCTCTTCCTGCCACCCACCATGGTTTTGTTTGAGCCAGTGCCCTTGATGCCTTGAGGGCAAGTGGAGCAGATTTCTTGCCGGCCACCCCCCAGCTGTGGTCGCTGTGCTGGAGGCTGAGTAGCGTTGTGGTACTCAGCACCCTGGCAGCCCCCTCCGCCATTAGAGCAGGCTCCTGACACCCGCCCACTCTGCCATGCTCTGAGTTCTGACCTGAGTTGCTGCCTGTAGACATGCCTAGGGGGCTTCCGGCAAGGTCCAGAGGCCAAGTTAGGCCCCAGACACCGCTGGTGGAAACGCATTCTTGTGTGAGGACCAGACGGGCTCGAGGCAGCTGTGGTGGTTTCCTGGTATCCACGGGAGGAGGGTGTGCTGTGATCAGCCTGGGCTCCTGCACCCCTCCCTCCCCCACTGCTCAGCGGGCATGCAGCAGGACCCCAGGACCCAGTGAGGGCTGGCAGGCCACGTGGGAAGGAATGGGGTATGGGAGGTGCCCGAGCCTGCCTCTCTGTTCTTTCGTGCCTGGCATGGAGAGCCAGGGTGGGCTGTTTCGAGAATGACATCGAGTCTGGACGCCTGGCCCAAGTACAGCCCCTTGTGTTCCACAGGGCCCAGTGGGCTCTGGCCTTCACCCAGGTGAGAGAGCTGAGGCTCGGGCCCCAGGTCTCTGGTCTTCCACCATATTCCCACTCACCTGAGTGTGGAGCCCCGCTCACAGCTGAATGAGCAGGTGAGCATGGGCTGGGCCTGATTCTGGCCGGTTGGTTTGAAGGCCCGCCCTCCCGCTCCCTGGATGAGGCCCTGTGGCAGGACCGGGCAGGTCAGATGGGACAGGTGGTGGGGGGCCTGGGTCTGGGCAGGAATGATGCAGAGCGTGTGTGCTTTGGGATCCCCAGTCAGCACACTCTGGCCCTCTCCCCTTGAAGGTCAGGTCCTGGAGGAGGAGGCTGGGCGGAGCGCACAGAACCGGGTCCTTCCCAAGGCTGTGTGCGTGAATGGCACCGACACCACCCAGCTGAACACCAGGTCAAGGGCAGAGCGCCGGGCCAGCGCTGCCTCCAACCCTGCCCGCAAGGCCTGCTCAGCCAGCAGCAAGATCCGCCGGCTGTCGGCCTGCAAACAGCAGTGAGGTTGGCTGCCCGCAGGTAGGATGGGGCCGGGACCAGAGGGGTGGGGGGGCACATTGTGGACACTACCATCTTGGTTTGTGTCACTGTCCCTGGAGTCTGGGTTGGAGTTGAAGGAAGTCACTTTCTGCAGAATACTGGCTACTTGGTGTGGTGCAGGGGCTTGGTGTGTGTGTGTGCAGGAGGAAGGCCCCTCAAGCTGACAGCCTGTTTTGCAGACCCGAGGGGCTTGCCTCCTGTCCAGCCCAGGCTGCTCCTGGCATTGGAGGAGTTTGAGGGGTGCAGGGGGCTGTGCTCTGACTGAGGTTGTCGTTTCCTCTCCCTGCTCCCTCTTCCCAGCTCTGACCACCCAGTCCACAAAGGGCGTTTTGGGTGGGCCTCAGGGGTGCTTGTGCCCCCATTGCCATTCAGGATATGAGCAGCGGGGTGGAGGCCTGAGGGTCCAGCCCCTGTCCATCCATGCCTCCTCTCCCCGGGAGCTGCCTCTGAAATGGCCCCCATAGAACTTACCTGCCAGTATCAGAACCGGTCAGGTGGGGTAGAAACTCTTTGCAGGGAGGCCTGGTTCTGTGGCACAAGGGCCCTGCTTAATCCCACCAGGCGACCAGAGATTCCTGGGGTGGCCCCTTGAGGCAGTGCAGCTCTCCCTGGCCAGTGGAGGTGTCTGACAGCACTGCGTGACTAGGCCTCCGTTTCCCCATCTTCTGGAGGGATCCAGGGAGAGCGTGCTGCTTGTGACACAGGACCTTGCTTGGCCCAGAAGTGACCTGCCTGTGTCCTGGTCTCAGTCTGTCTCCAGGAGCCCCGGCCAGGTCCTGCTCAGTCTTCCCGTCGACGGCTGGCCTGCTGCCCACCGCCCAGGAAGGCTGCCACAGCGCCCTCCGTGCTGACTGCTCCTCTGGAAGCCAGAGGGTCCTGGAGGACTGTGGCTGGGCGACAGCAGGGACTGGGATCTGGCCCTCCCTCGGTGGCCAGTGGACACGACCTCCTGCTGACTGCAATCCTGTGCTGAGCCCCTTCCCCCAGCTAGGGGAGGAGGGAGAGGGCCCGGCGTGGCCCCATGCCAGCCTTTGCCATGCACTTTACGTTGAGACTACTGGTTCTCGTCCACCCCAACTCCTCTTTTTACTCTGCCACTGGTTAGCACCTCCCACACCTGGTGATGTGTTCATATCAACCACAGCCGCAACGGGATGGGCATGACACGCAGGCCTGCCAACCCAGATGCATGCCCATGCCCAAGGGAACCAGGCGGCCTCCTTGTGTTTGTTGTTTGGTTGGTTCCTTTTTATTTTTATTTTTTAAACAAAAAATAAAACAGGTGGATTTGAGCTGTGGTTGTGAGGGATATTTGGGAACTGTGGGTGGCAGCATGCTGTCAGGGGATCTGAGCCTGAGCCTGGGGTCCTTTGTGGGTCCCACAGTGGAGGGGCTGGCCAGGCTACCTGCTGGAGACCTGGGCCTCTTAGGCATATTTGCTTCTAGCCATGCTGGATCTCTGCTCTTAGCGAGAGCCCGGCCTCCCCAAAGCTCCACAGGCCCCTCTGCTCAGCCCAGGGCCCACAGCTTCACAGCATGGTGGCTAGGGGGGTGCCTCATCCCCTTCTGCCCAAGACATCTGCGCTCTTGGGTCCCCAGAAACAACCCAGAGCAAGCAAGAGTATGCACTAAATATTTATAATCAACCAGAAAACAAAACACAAGCTCCATCACTGGATGGTACACAAACTGCAGGAAGCTTAGGAGGGAGGGGCGGGGCAGGGCGACTCGGCCGCTGGCGAGGGCTGCCCCATCTTTTGGCAATAAATAAAGCTTGGGAAACTTGAAACCTTGATCATTTGGGTTTTATGTCTCAAACACTGGTGAGTCCAGGCGGCTCTTTGGACGGAGCGGTTACAGGGCGTGCGGCCCGCTCAACATGCGGAGGGCGGGTGTGGGGTGCAGACACTGGGAAGGAGCGAGGTGGGAGGCGTGTGCAGGGCTGGGGGCAGCGGCAGCAGTTATTGCTCAGGGGTGTGTGTGGGGGGGTGCGGACTGCCGCGAGCACTCGCCGCGGTGAGGTAAACGGCTTTGAAGGGTTGGTGGCCGCGGCCTCGAGCTAACCTCCCAGCCAGGGACGGCCCAATCAAGAGATTGAGCTTTGGCACCCTGCGGTCCCTGTGCATGTGTCTTGGCGCGAATTGCAGCGCGTGCGCATCGAGCAATTCTCGAGGCTTCATTGGTCTCTGGAAGAGGCGCTGTGCGCATGCGTGTTGCGCAGTTGGCCCGTATCACCCCGTCTGGATGCAAGCCCTGCGCATGCGCTTTCTGTAGCTTGCGCCAGAGATGCGGCGCCGTGCGCTTGGCAACCCCCGTCAACACCCCGAGGCCACAGTCTGGGGCCAAGGGAAGTTGAGTGTGGCTCTTGGGACCCCAAGGTGAGAATCCGCCACACTCCCTCTAGTCGACTCTACGAAGTGCCTGGAGGGGACTGTGCGTGCGCACGTTGGGGCGCCTGGGGAACCGCACTCCTGCTCCAGGCCCGTGGTCCCAGCGCAGGCGCGCCGGGACGTCGCACCCCAGGTATGTCCGGCACCGGGGCCCCGCCGGTGCCGAATAAGCTGACGAGGTGGGCGCGGGGCGCAGGCTTAGACCGGGCTGTGGTCAGGGGACGTGGGCGCGGCCGTGGCCAAAGCAGGGGCCACGGCGACCGGCTGGGCCAGCCGCGGCGGAAAGAGCCTGTCGTCGAAGGTGGCCGCCAGCTTGTCCAGCAGCGCACCCGGGGTCCCAGCACACAGGCCGGACCCCGGGCATCCACCACCGGGCTCCTCCTCGATGACAGGGATGGAGGATGTGGCTGGGTCGTCGCCTGCTCTGCCATCGGGCGGACAGTCGACACTGTCTCCGCGGCGCAGGGGTGCGCGTGCGGGGCGGGGGGCACCAGATTGGGCTGTGGATGGGGTGGGGGGCGCAGCGCGTGCTCCAGGGTCGCTGTGCTGTCGGCCCCGCTGCTGCCACTGTTTGCGTGCATGGGGGTGGGGGTGTGCGCGCGCCCTATGGCGCGCTGTGGCAGACGGGGCGTCGTCGAAGTGCGGGTCGTGGCGTAGAAACTCGTGGAACAGCGCATCTGTCTTCTCATCGATGCTGTAGTCGCGGCGCGGGGCACGGCGAGGCCAAGCACGCGGGCTGCGGGGACGGACGGGTGTCTCTGGAGCGGAGCTCTCGAAGCTGCAGCCCACGGTGGCCTCGCGGCCTGCACTCGTAAAGGAGGAGCGCTTCTCAGGCGCACTGGGGGGCCCATCATCCCCCGCACCGCGGCCTTCGATGCTGGCATAGCCGCTGTCCATCTGCAGCAGCTTGCGCGGTCCGCCCGTCTCTCCATCCGCCGGCCGTGGCACGGGTGTGGGCGGCGGCGAGGGCGGTGGAAAGGCGGGTGCGGCGCCCCCGGAGCCTGAGCCCGAGCTGTCGCCACTGCGCACCGAGTCACGGTCGTTGCCGCTGCTGCTGTGGTCTGAGGAGGCAGCCGCGTGCAGCTCGAGTGAGGCACGCAAACTCCAGATATCGCGGTAGATGGTCGGGGCCTGCTCGAGCCCCGCGTCTCGCTCTCCATCTGAGTCTTGTAGCTGTTCAGGCCCTGCGATGATGCCGCGCTCCAGGGGGGACTCAGGGCTCGCTCCTCCTGCGGCGCCCACCTCCTCAGCTGCCTCTAGCCTGCAAACCAGGCCGCAGTCAGGAGGCTGCATTAGGCCCCCTCCTTCCCCCAACCCCGAGCCTCCTCTCCCACCCGCCTCCTGACCACCCTGCTTCTCGGTCCAGGAGGATGGGCACATGTGGGAACCCTCCAGGCTTGGCCGGGCCGTGGAAGATGATGTTTCTGAGTGCTGCCTGTCCACTTTGGCCTGGATGCTCTTGGGTTAACCCGGAGCCGTCCTGGCGCCTGCCAGTTCAACCAGGGCCTTACAGGATGAGAGATGGGAGGGAGGTTCAAGAGGGAGGGGATATATGTATAATACGTATATCTATGGCTGACTTATGCTGATGTATGGCAGAAACCAACATGATATTGTAAAGCGATTATCTTTCAATTAAAAATAAAATGTTAAAAGAAAATGTGACCAGGGCATCTGCTGGCAGTGCAGGGGGTTGGCCCCTTGCCCTGAAAGAGTTAAGGCTCTTCTCAGGAGATGCCTTCTTCATTGGATTGGATCAAGTGGAGTCCAACTGAGCCCAGACACCTGGGTGACCCCCCCCCCCAGGGGGCCACCTCAGCTCCCCCACCACAGATTGACAGGGACCCAGGAGGAAGATAGCACATAGAAAGTGTTGATCTCCCCAAACAGGAAGCACCCAGGACTAGGAAGCCTGCCCTGCTCCTGGGGTCCAGTTGTTCATCCTGCTGACAGGGGCCCAGAGTTTCCTGAGAGTTGCCCTTGGGCTGGGGGAGAGGGTGGCACCCTCAGAAGTGGTCACAACAGTTTCTGAGTAGCAGCTGTCCAGCCCCAGGAGCACCAGCAAGTGGGAGATGCCCTGGGTCCACAGCAGAGACCTTCACGCCCTAGGCTTCAGCAGGAAGCAGTGGGCCCCAGCCATCCCTCTACCCTTACCCATTCGCCCCCGCTTCCCTTCTCCGATCTGAGCTGGAGAGATGGCCCCAGTGAGGCAGCCTCCAGGAGACTGTGGAGCCAGAGGGACTCGACCGCCCATCCTCTGGGCCACCTATGGGGGATGGGATGGGGCAGGGGCCTACAGGTCCACCCCAGCACCTCTATCTACTGAAAAATACCTGCCGAGACTGGGGGGCGGGCTGGTGGGGCTGGCCAGAAAGGGGCGGGGGCTTGGGAAGACCATGGTGTCGCCCGCGCTGGCAATATACTGGATGAAGTCCACGTGGGGGGCATCCCCTTCCTCCTGCTCCATGCTCTCGCTGGCCGCCCGCTGCCGCTGGAAGTGGTGTCGCTTGGGGGAACCTGTGCAAAGGAAAACTGACCACTTGCCTAAGCCCTCCCAGCACCAGGCTCACTGCCCACATCTGAGCCAGGCCAGTAGACAACAGCCTGGGCCAGGTGAGTGTCTATCCCACCCCGTGGTGCAGCTGGGAAACTAAGGCACCAAGGACGGGAAGGCCAGGACCAAGAGCCCGGCGGCCAGGGCGGGCATGAATGGAGGTGCCAAGGCAGCAAGCAGGTGTGGCCAGAGCAAGGACTTTTCCTGGACATCAGGTAACAGACATGGCCTGGCTGAAGGCCGAAGGTAGGGCCAAGTAAGGGACAGGGAAGGGGGAGAGGTGACGCTCTCTCCTGCCAGCTCCAGATCCTGCCTCACTGGTGGGCCAGGGAGCCGGGTGGTGGAGCCTCAGGGGTGGGGATGGTAGTAACCCAGCAGACAGGTTCTGCTTCTTCCTGCCTGCATTTGCCTATAATCACCTCTGGAATTACAGGCTCCATCTAGGCTTCCAGTGGGGCAGCAGAACAAGCCCTCCCCTCCCTTTCCCGGCCAGGAGCACTCAACCAGAAATCAGCCCTCCCTCGCCCCATGGCGCAGGAGGTTGGCTCCAACAAGGGGACTCGTGCTGTCCCTGGTCCCCTCACCCTGCCTCTCCTGGCACTGGGATCTGCCACCTCCACCACAGGGCAGTAGATGCCCTAGCAGCCTCGCCCTGCTGAGCTCCAGTGAGCAGCCTTGGTCCTGGGAGTTGGTGCCACACCCCACCACCGCCACCCCCCACCTGCATGGCCCTTGGGTTGAGGTTTAGAAGCCCTGTGTCCAGGGCTCCATGAGCAGGGGTCTGCAGCATCAAATGCCCACCACCTGTGGCTGTAAATGAAGTTTTACTGGCACACAGCCATACTACTGTACATGTCATCTAGGGGTGCTCTCACTAGCACAGCAAACTGACTACAGTGCCAGAAACACGCAGTATGAGGCCTTACTGGAGAAGCTCACTGTTGTCCGCTCTAGCTAGACAAGCCCTGGCTTTACTGGGGCACTGTGTGCAGCCCCAGGTCATCCTCCTGACCAGCTCATGGGCCAGATGCCCACTGGTGAGCAGATGATGCTGGCCAGTCTGGGGTGGGGACTGGGGACCCCCCCCACCATGACGGTGCAGAGCAGGTTGCTGCTCCACATCTCCCTGGGCCTCACTCCCCACCAGGGGCTGCAGCTTACCTCTTGTGTCCAGACTGGATGCCCGCTGGCTGGGCTCCAGTTTCCATTTCTTGACCTTGAAATAGGGGCTGGCCCCGTCCAAGCTAGCATGACGCCTCAGGCGGGTGAAGAACTGCAGGACGGGGCCTGCCCCAGAGCCTGGGCCCACATCCCCAGGCCCTGCTGCGGCCCCCTGTGCACCAGGCTTGGCGCTCCTGGCCCCAGTGTCCAGCTGTGAGAGAAGAGAGATGCTCTGAGACCCGCTGACCCCTCCCTGCTACCCGAGTGCCCACCTGGCTTGGGCCACTTGTCACTTACTTGGAGTGCAGAGGAAGAACAGAGAGCTGGGGCTGGTGGGGGCCACGCTAAACCAGGGGGCTGGGCCTCCCCCCACCCCCCAGACCCTGTCTGAGAGGTTCCCCAGGCACAGGCCAGCTCTGTCCTGCCCAGCCCAGAACAGGACAGGGTAGGGGATGTCCTGTCCCACAGCCTGGGATGGTCCTGACCATGCCCTCTCCTGTTGCTGGACAACCCTGGAGGAGGTGAGCCAGGTGCATGTGTGCTCCGTGTATAACCGGCCCCTCTTCCTCCCGGGGAGGGGACCAGGTAGAGGCCCATAGGCTGACCCATGCTGGAGGAGGGGGCAGAGGACGTGGGGGGAGGCCTCACCGAGCTGCCTTCCCCGGAGTCACTGGAGGCTGAGGGGCTG